TCGAAACTGCCCCCAAAATCTAGTCTCTAAATAATCGCAATATGTTTTTTATAATCTTACAGGATTAAATTTGTCGTTTGGTAGAGAACTTAATCTGCAAATTACAGAAAAAAATATATTTAATTTCAACAAGTTTTAGGATAATATACACGATTTTTTTTAATTAACTTCTTTTAATCCTTTTTTAATGTTTGTAAAAACACATAATTCATTAATTTTATTTTAATGCACATATTAAACTAGTCTCTCAGAGCAGATCTTGCATAGAATGTAATAATAAAAGGACAAAAGCCACTTTCACTGTGATGAATTTATTTGAAATGAATGGCGTAAATCATTCTGGGCACTAGTTTTTTTTGTACCAAGGTACAAACATCTGTTATCAAGTTAATATTTTTCAAAGTAAAGGGTAAATATTTTAAAAACTCACATACCTTCCGAATGTGCAACGACTGGCGTTCTCTGGTAAAGTGTGCCCGGTGGAAGTTCCAGATCCACTCCTCTCAGATTCTGTAGAAGATTTTTTCGTCTGCTCTGCCGGAGCAGTTCTTTCGATGAGAACAGTAGTGCTAGCCACGATGACAATAAAAATGCAATTTTTCAATTCAGAGATAGGTGTACGATTTTCTCCCTTTCAGGTTGTTTTCCAAGAGTATTTAAGTTTTGAATCATTTAGTCCACCGTTACTTGGAGCATTAAACGTAATTATACATAAAAAGATTTTTAATTCTTTTCCTAATTATCTTAGGAAGAAGATATTTAAATAATTTAAGAAGAACAAGTTTCAGCTGTTCATGAATATTCTACGGCGTTGAAAGGAAAAAGACTTTTACAAACTGCTTTGAAAATTCTAATCCGTTGGCTACCAGAAGCTTCTTTTTCTAAATTATTTCCGTGTTTTTTTACCAGGAACTGATATTTAACAAGTTTAGCTGCACATAATATTCTTTGAAATATAATGTAACTTATTTCCACAGACGTGAAACCGATGCGTGCAAAATCTCACCAATAAGTCTTCACACAGTTCCAAAACATGAATAAATGTTAATATATTAACTATTGTGCTGCCAGGTGTACTGATAAATACCTTTTCATAAAAACTAAAACACACAACCGTTTTTACAATTATTTCGTGCAATTTCGTCAAAGAGAAATATCTTCTTAATTAAATCGAACAACGTTACGTAATAATTTAATTAACTTAAAAATCCGCTAATTTATTTTTAAATATCAAATTGAAAGTTATTTAGAAGTCTCTCTGTTTCAAATGATAAATTTAGAAAAATTAACACCATTACTTTATATTTCAATGGTGAATGTCAGTCATCAAAAATCATGCTCGTAAAAAACGCATTTGCAAGTAATACATAAAATTCAACGCCACAAAAATTATTACACACTATAATTTTCCATTCTCTTTTGTACTGCATCGATACCTAACAATTCCAAGTATTTTAAGCATAATCAATACATCATTCTGATGGTGTATCATTCCTGAATGTTATATCTCAGAGAATTATTTTTCTGTTTCGAATTTTGAGTTATCAAGTTTAAAAAATGGGAAAGAAAATCGAAATTAAAATCTAAACCAGTTGGTATCCTCGAGTACGTTCTATCGCATATCTCACTTTCGCTCGACAATCATTTGACTCACAGAGCGTGCTATTCCGTCAAAAGGTTCGGATATTCCATTTTATGATTCTCTTGCAACCACGAGTTGAATGCGAACCCGGCAAACTGATCGGCCAGCTCGCGAGGAGCACACGATTCACTGCGCCGACTTCGAATTCGCGCAATACTGCAGCGCCCCCGTTGCTTTGCGCATTTCACTGCTCAGCGAGCGCGCCGCTTATAACAATAGACAATTTGGAAAATACGTGTTATCGAATAAAATATGTCATCCAAATTCAATAGAAATAAAATACTTTGCTATATATTAGTGAAAATTAAACAGTTAACTAGAACTAAAAATTTATCGGTTAATCCTTATTCACCCATGATAAATTTCGCCATTTTCCTTTATATTCATTCATTAAACATAAATCTGTGTCTCCATGTAGCATTATATTATCTTTTAAGAAAGTAAATTAATTTAAAAGCTGCGACTGTTCGAATAAAAGTGCAACTATATCAAAATCAAACAATCGAATTATATTATAATAGAATTACACTTATTATTATTCTGGTTAGATTATGTTATTGAAATATGGCAAAGGACATGAGGGATGTTTTCCTAGGAGAAACTAATGTCCTCCAGGAGGACTTTCAAAGATGAGCTGGCTCCTATTCACGTTAACACAGAGCGAAAATCCTGAAAACCAACCATGGGCCCAGCCCTTTCGCCTGGGGCTAAACCAGAGTCGAACTTCCAACATTCAGCAGTCTTAATCACTCGGCCACTGTTTCGATTAATTATTATTATGAATTCATTTTTAAATTATTTCTAATAATTATAAAATTCCTGATAAATACTATAATTTATTATTTTACGCCTGTCATTCCATGTAAATGTCAGGAAGTATTTCATATATGAAATGCTTCTTCTCGTTCCAATAAACCGATTATTAGTTAATAAAAATTAATGATAATTAGAAATAACGTAATAATGATAATTAGTAGAAACGTACTGAATACATAACATAGCTACCAATATGAAAAACCTGGAGTTTTCTTTTCCTAAAACCAAGAATTTCTGGGAGGTTTTGCGCTGCGCTGCGAAAGCATTTCATAAACGAATACCAAATTCACATAAATTTCCTTTATAATGCATGATTTAAGTTATTTTGTTATTTATATTATGACTCTAACATAAACTATATAAATATTAAATTAGGTATTCTAAATTTAATATTCTTTGACTAATTTCATTTTGTAAATTTCTTAACAATTCGATCAAGAAAAAGTCTTTTTTGTTGCGGAGAAGAAGAGCAGAAGATACTTCAAAGAGGCGATTTTTTTTATTTTCTCTCCCCCCCACACACACCCAGTTTTATGTGGCACTCACTTATCGAGCTTCTTTGACTTTCCTATATTATTCAACTGATCAGAAATCGTTGTTTTGCTTGCTTTATACCGAGAAAAATCCAGAGTACAAAGGAAAGCGTTAATTTATCAAAGTACTTTTAAATAGTAAAATTAGCAATTAATGTTCCTACTGTTATGTGGATAAAATCATGCACCATATATTGATATAAAACAAAATTAAATACAAATATTTACTGATTAAACATTGGTTAAATCTTTATAAAATGTTAGGTTGTCCGGAAAATAATGCAGGTTTTTGCAATTGTTTACCTTTCTTGTACATATTTAGTAATAAAAATATTTTGAATTACGTTGATTTATATATCATTTTGAAGCTCTATTTTCGCTCTATATTTTTACTTTTAAAAATATTTACTAGGTTCTTTTTAGATGTTAAAACGAGATTTTTCAGAAAATTTACTTTTACGAGTATAAGCTAGGCCGTAACGTAGCTCAAACGGCTCGAAATGTCAACGAAGTATGGGGCTAGAAAAGTTTTAATGAATCTACAGTTCAACGGCGGTACCAAAAGTTTCGGCGTGGAGAATTTGACTTTGAAGATGAAGTGGGTCGTGGACCTCTTCAGCTGTTGATGACGACGATTTGAAAAACTTTAGGTTGAATGTAAACCCGTGCACAACTGTTCGAGAGCTTGGCGTAAGCAAAACAACGATTTCTGATCAGTTGAATAGTATAGGAAAGTCAAAGAAGCTCGATAAGTTACAGCACACTGTTTATTGCTTATTAGTGACTGTAAAATATAAATAGATGGATCAAACGGCTAACTCTTCATTTTCTACATGCCTGTACCGGAAGGAAGTAGATGCACTTAACAACTATGGCAAGTATGCCAAAAACAAGGTAAAATTTCTTTCACTAGTGGAGCCTCTAGCACCATCTAGTGAGGGAAAGAAATACTTTAAGCTGAATTTCCTAACAAGTAGACAAGACAATTTAAGCTAAATAAAAATTAATAAGAAAAATTATGCTGGATATCGCTGAGGGAATGGAATTTGCTGAATGTAAATTTCATTGATTTGATATATTTCATTTATTGCTGTTAAAGATTTCCCAACAATAAATGAAACAATTTTATAGCCTACTACCGAGACTGACCATGGCAAAAACGTAAATTTACTGAATATTTGTAGTTCGACAGTGTTCAAATCCCCGCAAAAAAGTTGGCTGCATGGGCATTTTCGTCGTTTTCCCCAAGTGTAACGTGGATACGAGACAGTTTTCCTCATAAAGTCCTCCACGAAAACATTATTCCCTAACATAAATAGCTCTATTGACCTTTTCTGTAATTAAACAAACCAAACGAAATTATATTTTTAAAATGTCAATCTGGTGATTTCCGATTATCTTGATTCTGAAATTTAAGAAGATAAAAAAAAACTTATAAAGCGCAGTATTTTTAATTTTTTCAAAAGAAAAATGCTAGTGTAAATATGTAATTTATTTTAACTGCCTAGTTTTCTTCTAATAATAATTTTTTCCGTATAATTCTTTCGAAATATTTAAATGTGTGTTAGTTTTCTGCGTCAAATTCACTTCCAAATTTTTTTTTAAAAATTTTCTGATTTTTATTTCCGTAAAATTAGCAACTGTTTGCACAAAACATCTGCACGAAATGTTAACATTATTCACAGAAGTTGAATGACTCCCAACTCGTGCCGCGAGATAGGATATCATCTCTGTAAAAATATTTACCTATTATCAGTTTTCAGCTAAAATAAGCTTTTTCTTCTGAATCAAAATGAGATAGATACGATAATGATAAATTGTATAAAAGCACAAAGCGTTTGACTACTCTTAAATATTATTCTACTTCCATAATTTAAAGGATTAAATTTCCTAATTTCTGCTCCCCATGTCTCTCAGTTCCATCTTAAGAACTATTCAGAATGCCATGAACAACTCTGAATTAGGAACTAGCATAATTTTAATGGCAATAGTTTCTGCCTGTGCAATCGTATACTTTTTTGCGAGTAAGAGAAACAAATTACCTCCCGGCCCAACTGGCTTGCCGATTGTAGGTTATTTACCATTTGTAGGTACTGAACCATATAAAACTTTTGCGGCACTTGCCAAGAAATACGGAAATGTGTTCGGGTAAGTGTTATGACTTCAGTGATTATTCTAAAATTCTAAGTGTTTTCTTTAGCAGGATCTTTACAAAGCTTTGAACCACGATGTTGCGTTATTCTACCATATACTTATCATCCCCGCCGTGAGTACGTTGTAGTATTTATAATTAAGGAATATTTATTTGTTTCTCCTTACACGACAGAAATATTTATGTATTTATATTTTCCTTACTGCGTTAACTCTTATTTTAATTATCATAACGACATATACTCTAATAATAATAATAATAGTTATTCACTGATTTCTAATATGCATATAAACTTCTGCCTGTGTAATCGTATATTTTTTTGCGAGTAAGAGAAACAAATTACCTCCCGGCCCAGCTGGCTTGCTGATTGTAGGTTATTTACCATTATCTACGGTTAAATTGTTCTTGACTGAAACTGCACTCTATTAAAGTTTAAAGCCTCGAAATTATTAATCTTCCATTATTTTAAAATAAATAATAATAATTTCATTCCGATAGTTGCTTAGCATGCTAAGGTGTTATAATTTGAAAAGATAAACTAAGGATCAAATGTCAAACAGAATGAAACTTTTTTGAATGCATGAAACTGAAAAATTATAGTATTTTTCCAGGAATTTTTTGAATGAGTGAAACGTTTTATTTTTCCAGGCCTCATGTAATCTATATTAAAGATCTTGTGTTTCATGCAATGGCAAGTTTTCCTAGATCGTGTTTTTCTAGATTGTAAAGTAGCATAGTGTAAGAGAAACACACGAAAAATTTTCACCTGCCCTAAAGATGTTTCTAATTTCAAAGCTAAATATAATTTTTAAAAAAATTTGAAGTATTATATTAAAGCCTGAAGAACCAAATTAGAAATTTCTGGTAGTATTTATTTTTTATATCCTAAAATGGTCACGACTTAATAACATTTAACAAGGGAAAGAACTGCAAATGGTGGGATATGTCGTGCATTTAGCATAGTTAAGGCGCTTAAGTACACTCTCCTCTATTTAGCACAGTTTTATTAAAGAATCATAGATTAGAATAAAAACGAAATCAATCTTTATTTAACAAGTTAGAGAGTTTGCTTAACTCAGATAGAACACAAATAGGATACAAATAAAAATTAACAGACTTTAAATTTAAATTTAAATCGAAGTGTTTACATTTAAATCGAAATGTTGAAATAAGGAACTTACAAAGGATTCATTTAAAAGTTTCAAATAGCTTCAGACTTACCTATTAGGCAAGAGAATATTCCATGAAGTGAAAGTAGCATGCTAAAAAGAATGAAGCATAAATATAATGCAAGTACAAAATCTTTTTAAGATTTCTGCTTCCGAACATAGATAGAATCCTAACTCACCAATATATAGGATTCATTTATAAGTTTTAAATAGCTTCAGATTTACCTATTAGGCAAGAGAATATTACATGAAGTGAAAGTAACATGCTAAAAAGAATGAAACATAAATACAATGCAAGTACAATATCTTTTTCAGATTTCTGCTTCTGAACATAGATAGAATCCTCACTCACCAATATATAGGATTCATTTATAAGTTTCAAATAGCTTCAGACTTACCTATTAAGCAAGAGAATATTCCATGAAGTGAAAGTAGCATGCTAAAAAAATGAAGCATAAATATAATTCAAGTACAAAATCGTTTTAAGATTTCTGCTTCCGAACATAGATAGAATCCTCCCTCACCAATATATAGGATTCATTTATAAGTTTTGGCCCACCAGCGGCCGAGCGGTAAAGTCGCTGAACACTGGTAGTTCGGTCCGAGGTTCGAATCCCGCGAACGGGCTGGCTGCATGGGTGTTTTCGTGGTTTTCCCCATGTGTAACGTGTATACGAGCCAGTTTCCCTTAGAAAGTCCTCCACGAAGGCATCCCTCCCCTTAGGCAGATAGGCCTAGTGTGCTTTGCCATAATTAAATACACACACAGACACATTTATAAGTTTTAAATAGCTTCATATTTACCTATTAGGCAAGAGAATATTCCATGAAGTGAAAGTAACATGCTAAAAAGAATGAAGCATAAATACAATGCAAGTACAAAATCTTTCTAAGATTTCTGCTTCTGAACATAGATAGAATCCTCACTCACCAATATATATCGTCTGGCGTTTGTTTGTTTTTGACTTGCCGAGATTCATTACGCAAAATTGACACTAATTTATTCTAACAATCAAGGTAAAGAAGAATCGGCTTTAGAATCGGATTTTCAAAAGTTCGAAACTTGAATCACTGACGTGTGGACAACACAATGGAAAATTTCAAAACTTATCTTTTTAATTTAATCATGAATATTATTTATTCTTTCTTGTGCATGATTGTTACTTTTGTAAACTAAAACAAAAAGACCAAACTGAAATATGGCTCGTGTGTCCACAACCTTTCCAAACGATAAATCATACGACATATATATGTTTAATGTGTGTATATCTGTGGCATAAGTGTGTATATCTGTGGGCAACTATTATACAATCAACTCCCGAATTTCCGAATAATAAATCTCTGTTTATAACAGAAAGTTGAGGTTTGGTATCGCAAAATGTTGAAAATATTAATGTGACTAATTATCAGCGGAAAACAGAACTGCTAACGAAAAATGCAAAAGAGAAAAGAACGTGAAAACTCTTCTTTAATACCAACTTAGTTTCTTCATTTTTAATGATGTTTGCTCTTCTATTATTTGCCCAGCATTCTTTTTCCTTTCTAATTATCTCTATTTATTTATTATTTACTGTGCATTCCTTTCTTGATTCCTTATTATCTTTATTCTATTATTTACTGTACATTTCGTTTTTCATTTAAATTATGTTTATTACTTATTAACAGTGTATTCCTTTCTTCATTATTTAATCGTGTTTACTCTTTATTTACAGTGTATTTCTTTCTTCATTTCTAATAACGTTTATTCTTCTGTTATTTACAGCGTCTTCATTTCTAATGATGTTTTATTCTTCTATTATTTACAGTGTATTCTTTTCTTCATTTCTAACGAGGTTTTTCTCTTCTGTTATTTACAGTGCATTCTTTTCTTTATTTCTAATGAGGTTTTTTCCATCTGTTTTTATAGTGCATTATTTTTTCATATCTAATGACGTTTATTCTTCTGTTATTTATATGGACATGGATTTAGCGAAGGGTGTCGAACACCCATTGTTTAGCCATAGGCAATGTGTGTATTCTACCGTCCGTACTAATCATCCAGATAACCACCCACCGCAGGGCTCACAGGGGGGGGGCCGACAGGCGTTACTGTGTTTTGTGCGGTGTTGCATAGCTTCGTGCCTCTTGTGAACATGAACTTCATTATGTTTATGATTTTCTTTCTGAAATGTTTTCTCTAGATAGCATATATTATGAAAGGATTTGTTTCCCTTGAGTTCAGAAATTTTAGATGGTACTTAGCTGTGAGAGAGCATTTAAATGAGTAGTATTCGAGACTGCCTCTTTCTCCACATACACACTAATCTGATGTAGCTAAGTTCCTTGCATTAGTCCTTCCTACGTGGGAAAGGGACCATGCCCTGACATGAACCACGTTGTTTCTCTTGCTGCTGAACTGGGTGCAGTGCCTACTTTTGGGGACAGTTGACAGGTCCTTCTCTCTTATTCGGTGTTGGCCCACCAGTTCTGCCATTCAGCCTTTTGCCATTCGTTGCTTACGAGTTTCTTGAGGTACGAGCTAGCACTCATAAATTTTGTGCATTTTGACCTCTTGCTGCTTCTCTGGCTGGGACGTGAGCCTCTTCTCTACCTTTTGTCTCTGCATGTGTTTTCACTCAGGTGACAGAGAAGTGCTAATTTGATGATACTGAAATTCTTTCCGTAATCTCTTGGATTAGAACTGATTTATAGTGCTTGTTCACGAAGACTTTGTAAGACCTTCGTGATAAGGAACTTACAAAGGATTCATTCACTTATAAATGAATCCTTTGTAAGTTCTTTATCACGAAGACTGAGAGACTGTTTCTGAAGATATATGATGCCTTTAGGGAGTTTACGATGCTGTATTTTTAATGCTTCCAGGAGCGCTACTGATTCTGCTTGGAATACTGTATGTAGTTGGCATATGTGGAACATTGTTCATTTGTCAAGTTGGAGTCTGGGTAAATTTTGATTGCCCTGCCTTTGCCTTCTGAGCCAAAACCATCTGTATAGAACTGGGAGAATTTTTTTGCTTACATTTCAGCAAGATAATGGCCGCCCCCACACTGCACATGTTTCTACTGCTTGCCGAACATTACCTTGGCCAGCAAGGTCGCCGAGTCTCTCTCTTATTTAGCACGTTTGGAGCATTATGGGCCGGCCCCTCCGACCAGCTCGGGATGTTGACGATCTAACGCGCCAGTTGGACAGAATTTGGCACGATATCCCTCAGGAGGACATCCGCAACCTCTGTCAATCGATGGCAAGCCGAATAACTGCTTGCATAAGGGCCAGAGGTGGACAAACGCGTTACTGACTTTTTCACTTTTTGAAGTTCTATCACTTCGATAAGTCATCCAATTTTTCTCAAACTGTAATCATTTGTTTTTCTGTACATGTATATCACTTCTTCCGATTTTCGTCCCATTCGGATAATCCCTTCTTGGTGCGACTTTTTTTCTCGTTTAAGAGTGTATATAAATGCAATTCATATATATATATTTGGTGTGGCTGATTGCAACAAAAAGGAAGGTGCACAAATATATGTTATAGTAGTCCCACATATAAAATTTCGACGTTTTACAGCTAATCGTTTTTGAGTTAGCTCAGATACATGTACATGCGTCGCGAGAAAAAAATCGCTTCTGAATCCATTTTACAATCCGTTTTGGAAAACAAATAGTAGTTTATTCTCTTCGTAAATACAGATGTACCGAAAAAATCGTCTAAATGGATTCGAGAGCTCAAAGTGGATATTTCCTTTGAAATGTGACTTCCTCAATTTTTCGTGCTTACAACATTTCGTTTACTTCGTACAAGAAAGTAAAAAGAAAGAAAAACTAAGC